GTTTCAGAGTTAGTCAAGGGTCTGAAATCAGGCAAGGGAGGAGTACTAGGTTTATGGAGGAAATGGAAATCGTAAAATCATTCATGGTCATGTTACATTTATGGGGATAATAGTGCATCTGGGTGTAATTATCTTATGGTAACTAGAAAAAGGGAACTAGGGAAATAAAGAGCAAGGCTGATAATATAGATTTGAGTGCCATAGGCAAGTAAAAGAGAGCAAAGAATATTGAGACTATCATAAAGAACTAACAAAAGAAATAGAAATGGCCAAAGAGGTATTAAGACAGCCAGGAAAGTATATTGTCAGGACCCAAGGGTAGAATAGTCAACAGCATCAAATACTATACAGGGAGGCAGGTTGCAAAGAATGAAAAAATATTGGATTTGACATGGGTCACTGGAGACCATCGGAGACCAGGTAAGAAAAGGTGTGTCAGACTTCAGAACCTCAGGTGTAATGATGGATTGGAAAAAAAAGAAATGGGATAGTAACTAATAAGGATAATAATGTCAAGAAAACTTTTTTTTCAAATGGGAACTTGTTTGTTATTGATAATTACATGGAAGATATTAAAAAAGAGTTAGATTAGATTTGAGAAGTGCCAGAGGAAGAGTATCTTGCCTCCTGTCAAGTTTCTTTCCCTCTAGTATCATCTTTCTATCAGTGCTGAGTAGTATCAGCCCCCTAATTAAAGAGTTTTCTGGGTTCTTTGTTGCCAGTGGAAATCCAGTGTCCTTAGCATAGCAGACAAGGCGCTTTACACTCTGGTTCCAACCTCCCTCTTCCATTTTACCTCTGCCCCACCCCCCCACCCCCCCTCCCCACCCCCCTATCCCCGGCCAAAGGAGATTTCAGATTCTTTACAGGTTGGATCTTTATACACATTGTCTTCTCTGCCTGGAAGATCATTCCTCTCATCGTTCCATGGAAAATTCTAACTTGTCTTTCAACACCTGGCTCAAATGTCACCTCATTTTTGAGCCCTTTCCTGCCTCCCTAGGCCCAGTGTAAATGTCTGTCTTTGGTGCTTCAGCCGCGAGTGGTTCCTTCATCTGTTTGTCTCAGCATCCTGCATTGCAATTCATCCATTTTCATAGCTGTGTTCTCCATTAGACTCTGTGATCTCTCAGCACAGAGACTGTCTTTTTTATTGTAATCTCCATGGTTGATACAAAACAAACTCTTGCTAAAAGCATCAAGAATGAATGAGTCTTAAAGTAAGGAAACATATATTGAGGTACATAAAATGGAAGTGAAGAAGTATATTAGTATAAAAAATGAACGGTTTCTCCTCTGCATTTTCTTTTTTTTAGGCTATCTGTGAGCATATATAATGCATACAATATGTGAAACTATGGATTCTGAATGTATTCTGCTACAGTCATTATGTATTAGAAAGTGGTTTTGAAGCTAAGCAGTCTCAGTGACCTCTGACTTTAAAAGCTATATGAATTTTAGTAAGTTAATTTCTCTAAACCTGAGTTTCTTATTGGTCAAGTGAAGATAATACTTAAAGTATAGTGTCAGTTGTGAGGATAAAATTGGCAAAATGTAGACTAATAAACTTAATAACCAGGATTTAGTTTTCACTGTTGTTACAGTTATTTTTGACTCCCACCTTCATGGCTAAGATCTCTTAGTTTCTCTCTGGTCTTCGATTTGACTGATTTAATACTTTAATCCATTTTATAAAGTAAAGAACTTTTTGTTTGTTTCCTAAGTTAAATTTTGATGTTGAGAAATTTAAATTCAAGTCTGTCTTTATGGAGCAGTGTTTCATCTGCCTAAATGATGCTATCTGATTAATAATACTCCCTGCATCAAGTAAAGTTGCAAAAATCTAGAATTAAATAGATAGACTTATTTAGTGAGTTGCCAATTAAGTCTGAATTGTTTATGTGTCTCCAAAAAACTTCCCAGCAGAGGCCCTACCTTCTAGGCTTGTTAAGCTGGATCGAAGGATATCCTTTTTGTCTTCTCGTCAGGAATCTATTGCCCTGTGTGATTTAGATCAGCTCTTTCCATTTTATAGAAGACTTTTTGTAGTTAATAAAAACATGTGCTTACAGCTTTTTTTGTGTAGATAAAGGAGAGGATTCCACATCCGATTTAGATTAAGAGTTAGATTTTGAGAAGAAAATAATGGATATGTCCTCTGGGAACAGTGGAATGCAGTGATGTTCTGTCTCTGACTGATTGAGTTTATGGCATTTAGGAACCCTTCCACACCCACACCCACGCAAAGACCCAAGAAGTGGTCACAACTGCAGCTACAGAGGCTGCCTCTTTCCCTGTTCTTATTTCCAAAGTGCATCTGTTGGTTTCTATAACATGAAATAAATCCCTCTCTTACGTCCAGTGGTGAAAAGCTTATATAAATACTAAAACTTCAATTATTCCCCTGAGTTTTCTATTGGCTAACCTGCAGCCATGGCTTTGTCTGGATATTGACATGCATTTTCTGTGCATATTGACATGCATTTTCTGTGCAGATCTTTCTGGCCAGGGTAAGTCCAATGGTGATAAATTCACTTGTCTTGAAAATGTATCAGACTAACCATTATAACACTCCATTTGTGAAAACTTAAATAATTGACAACCTGATTGAAAAGACTGCAGGTTCAAAGTATCTTTTATTCTCTCAGCATATTATCATTCTGATGATATATATCTATATCTTTTAGGAAGTCTTGGCGAGGAGATAACTTTAGTGTTGATTGAAAAGGAAATACGAATGTGAAGAATTGATTAGAAGCAGGACATTTACCTTTGCCTGTAGTATTCCCATGATTTTTTTTTTCTTTTGAAAGAATTTTTTTCAATAGTTAGAAGTGCAATATTTTATTCGGTACTAACTAGGTATAGTTAACATTCTGAGCTGAAATTAAAATGAATAATAATAAATTTTTTTATCCATAATATTGGAGAGAAAAATGGAAGACATTATGTTTAAACATAAGAATCAATGCTTTGTGTGTAGTGGGCACTCAGCAATGAATGCATAAATAGTATTAATTAGATTTCCAGTGAAATTTAATGCTATCTTCATTAAAATATTTATTATATCCTTATGTAAATTTTTATGCGATTGAACATCATTGTTCAGATAGTATCTATCTTAATAGAGGATACATTAATTCTATTTTTTCATTTTCTTTTTTTCTATTAGATGATGATTAGAGAAGTGTACTCCCCACTATTCTTTTGAAAATGGTGAAAGAAGTACATTTCTCTAATATAATTTTCTATGAGATCTGAAGATTTCAGGCTAATTCTACCTATGTATAAGAGAAATGAATAGATGTCCGTGAATACTCAGTATTTCTACTATAATTCCACTAGTTTTTCTATATTAGTAAAACATTTTAACTGCCAAAAATAATGTTTTTTAAAAGTCCCTTTGATCACCTACATTATTAATTAACTAAAAATAATTCACTATTTTAACAATTGACAATTTTGAAATCCTTCATATTAGAGACTATGTTTGTGTTGAGTTGTCCCTAAGGATCCAAGATTTTGTTTCTGTGTTCACTATTTTAACACAGAAGAAATATAAAACAGTAAATTTCATTAATGAATTTATTGCTCTTTCCTTAAAACCTAATAGAAAAAAATAAAGGAAATCAAAAATGCTTTTCTATCTGTGAAGTCTGGTTTCATTTATTTATTTATTTTTTTAGATACTTCTTTTTTTTTCTCTCTCTCTGTCTTTCTCTCTTCTTTCTTTATGGTTGGGGATTCATTGAGAGTACAGAGAACCAGCTTATGCTGATTGCATTTGTTAGGTAAAGTCCCCCTTATAATTATGTCCTGCCTCCAAGAGGTGTGTCACACACCGTGACCCTCCACCCCGTTCCCACCTTCCTTCTCTCTGCTCCCCCATTCCCTTAACCCCCCACTCCATGGGGGAGGGTCATCAATTGTCCTTATTTCAGAATTGAGTACAGTGGATTCTTGTTTCTCCATTCTTACGCTGCTTTAATAAGAAGAATGTGTTTCAGCTCCATCCAGGTTAATACAAAAGACATAAAATCTCCATCTTTTTTAGTGGCTGAATAGTATTCCATAGTATACATATAACACAGCTTGTTAATCCATTCCTGGATTGGTGGGTATTTAAGTTGTTTCCACAGTCTGGCAATTATAAATTGAGCTGCGATCAGCAGTCTAGTACAAATGTCCTTATGATAAAAGGATTTCTTTTTTCTTCTGGGGAGATGCCCAGTAACAGGATTGTAGGATCAAATGGGAGAGCCAGTTTGAGTTCTTTTCTCCATACTTCCTTCCAAAAAGGTTATATTACTTTGAAGTCTGATTTTAAATTACAGTAGGACATAAACAGATTTAAAGGACTAGGATGAATTTTATTTTGTGGGCTAAACTGAAATATCAGTCTTTGCATGCCTACAGTTGTTCTAATTAGCAAATTGCAGTGCAAATAAATATCTAAGGATTTTTTAAAAAACCCAATGGTTGTGGCTGTTAATTATTATGTACTTTTACATAGCTTTTCTTTCAAAACACCTACATTAGTTTATTTTTTGTTTTGAAGAGTAAGTGGGTTTATAAGTATCTACTTTAACCTGATATTCTATATGGGAGATCTAAAGGACATTTTGCACAATGACTTCATGCTCAAATTGCAATTATATTGTTGTTATATTTGTAATGGTTCATTTGGAGCTCAATTAGTACCATTTCTACACAACCTTTCTATTCCAAGGGACTCTGTCAGAGAGTTCATAGGGTTAGAAATAGGGGTAATTACATCTTCAATAGAGGATTTTAAAACCCTGGGACCTGAGTGGCTACTTTCACCATTGTAAGATCACTCAACTCATTTCATATAGACAATCTTCTCTAAAAACAAGGAATAAAGAGAGACTAAGAAACACATTTTATTACTGTTGGTTGTTAGGAAAGAGACCACATGAAAAAGAGGTTGTATTATATTCTTTAGATTATAAAAAATATCCTCTTTTGTCTGTTCCTAGGTTTGAAGAAGAAACAACCAGCAAGTGGTTATATCTTTTTGAAGGCAGTGGGGTCCCGTATGGCCCAATCAACAGCATGAAGAATGTATTTGCAGAACCCCAGGTTTGTTTTTTGAAGTATAGCAGCGTAAGAATTTGTCTCTCTTTTCTATCTAGGTGGATTTATATAAAAGTACATTAATTGATCTTAAGTTACATAACATGATCTTTCACTATTGCATTAAAATTGTGGGTCTGAGGTAAAAAGAACTAGCATTTACAATTATTTACAATCATATCTTTCTGTCTGTCATATTTAACGTATTGTTTTCCTTTGTCAGCTACTACATGAAGTTTTTGAAGTTAGGGCATTTATTTTTCCTGAAAAAGAGAAATACAAGTTGGGGTTAGGTACTCAGAAATTATTCTTTATAGAAAGAAAGATGAGAACTTTCATAGGTACAGCCCACCTCTGATCATATGTGTACCTTAAAATGTATAAAGCAAGTCATATTTAAGTCTGCATAGAAATCATTTTATGTGTAAATAAGTTTTTATTATTGGTCTATGGCATATATTAAGTCATTAGACCATTTTCCAAAATTGGAAGCATTGATATTAACTAACACAGGATAACAATTCTTCATATTATTGCAAAGTCTCTACAAACTTCCCTGTTTATCACCAAAAAGGAGATTCTAATTTCTGTAGTTCTAACATAAAAATATTTAATCGTACAGTGATAGTTATTGATAATTATACCCTAGTAGCAAGAGTAAAGTTGTTCTTGTTCATAAGTAAATTTCATTCTTTTTTGGAGTTTACATACTAAAATATATATATACAATTTATCTGGATTGTTAGAAAGACGAGAGAGTAATGTACTAGCATTGCTTTTTTTTTTTGAGACAGAGTCTCACTATGTCACCCTCAGTAGAGTGCTCTGGCGTGACAGCTCACAGCAACCTCAATCTCTTGGGCTTAAGCTATTCTCTTGCATTGCCCTCCCTAGTAGCTGGGACCACAGGTGTCTTCCACAAAGCCTATTTTTTTCTTGTTGTTGTTGTTAGTTGTTGTTTGGCAGGCCCGGGTTGGGCTTTAACCCACTAGCCCTGGTGTATGTGGCCGGTGCCCTAGCACTGAGTTACAGGTGCCGAGCCTAGCATTGCCTTTTCAAAGTAAGCAAGGATGACTATGGAAATTGTTAAGTAGGACTTTTCCATGTAAGAGGCAAAGGTACCTTCTTTCTCTATTGCTTATAGTGTTTGTTCTTTTTAGAAAGAATTCCATATAATTTTGAATTTTGAAAGGAATATAGAATTGTAGGAAGTGGTATAATAAAATAATATTTATTATAGAGAGTTTAAAAAACGTGTGAAATAGATTATTTTAAAAAATCCCTTAGGATGACATCTAAAAATGATTACTTAGGAAGTCTATTCATTTATTCAATTAGACTTTATTATACTGGTGCTAGGGGTTTAGTGTAAATTTAGTGTTCCTTGCCTTTCTAAAAAATAAATTCAAAGTTGACTAAAACTGGGTACATAATAAATATTTGTTGATGAATCAGCAAAGAATGAGTTGGTTAACTTTGGAAAGTATAGGCTTTTGAAATGAGCAAGTGGCTCTTGGTAGTCCTGAGTAGGGCTGACAAGCTGTGTCATTAGGGCTGATTAGAAAGCCCTTGGTGATACCCAGGGACTAATGGTAACATAATAGTGAAAACCATAGAGTCAAAGTTAGTGGGCAGTTTTAAAGCTTCTAGACTTTAGTTTCCTTAACTGTAAAATTGTGAAGTAGGATCTTATCCCTATATTGTTGAAAGTGTTAAAATAATGTTTAGATGGTAAACAATGCACAGTAGTAGCTCAGTCTTTCATGGTTATATTCTTGTTAAAAACATTTTCTTTGACTCACCTTTGCTTAGTGGATAGAGGCAAATCCAGTGATGTGGGGATGGGGAACACTAACTTAAAATCATACTCTATTGTCCTTTTATGAAAATGTATCTGCAAACTCTAACAAGAAATTATCAAACCTTCCTCATTTCTGATTACTGAAAATTGTTTTATGTTTAATTTTTCTTAAAAGTTTTTTCTAAGTATGATTTCCGTTTAAGGTATCCTCCCTTGTTTTCCCTCTGATGAGCTGTAGAGTTTCTTGGCCCTGGGTACATGGAACTGGCCACTTCTGTTCAGATGTGGGAATGCAACACTGGCGCCTGTGGGCCGCTCTCCATGTGCGCTGTGCCAGCACAGCTGCTAGTTCTACTGAAAATTGCTTTGGGTGAAGTACAAGCCTGGAACATGGTGCAGGAAGGGAGACTTTGATAAAGTGAAACTGGGTATGTCTAATAAAATCAAACAAACAAACAAAAAAACCAAAACCAAGGATTGGAACCCTTAAGGAATGGGAGAGAATTTGGTATACCTTCTTATACCATTTATATTTCGTCTGTAGTTTGACAAAAATGTACTTGCTAGTAGAAACTATTTCTAATCTAACATTTTCATCATAGCCTCATCATCTGAGAAAACTTGATTTTTTAACTCAACTGAAATAATAGATCACATTTCTTGGATAGATAGAAAGTTGTTTACCTTTGACTTTCTGATTATATGCTATGTGTAGACCTTTGCACAAACTGATCCTATAGGCATCCACTGTTAAGCCTAACCAAAAGTGCTGTGGGGGGAGGGGTTGGTCTGCATTTTTTGACACTCCTAAAAAGTTTTTATTTAAAACTCTTAAAGTGGTAGGTTTTTTTTGTTTGTTTTGTTTTTCTCCCTCAGCAACAAATTATCTCTGGAAATCTCAGTGCATTATAGAGGTATAGTATAGATTATCTGAGTATAGATTTTAATAGCCAGTCATTTCTTCCCGTGCTTTCTTAAAATATCTTCTTTTAATCAGGCCAAGATTGTGCAGTACATTAAAGGAATTCTTTAAAAGTTTCAAAAACTTACTAGATGACCTCAGTATGGTCCTATTTAACATACCCTTGGGAACATGTGCGTGAAATACATTGTGGTTTGAGGGTTTCCAACCCAAACAAACTTAAAAGAAAATGCAGATTTAATAGAAACTATTCAAATTCCTGCAAAAATAGGTATGGATCTCAATCACTGACAGGTTTTAAGATAATCAAAGAGAATGCAGCATCCTGTTTTTACGATTTCTCTTTAAATTATATGTTTGGTGGTTCTAGGTATCACCATCTTTAATTAAAATGCTCAATTAAAAAAATAAAATATGAATGATTGGTACCTCTGATTGATGTTTTTCTCTGTCCTTCATGCTACGGCCTGAGGGTATGGAAGAGAGGGCAATGGGTGCTGCAAAACTGGTGTTATTGAAGAGCCTTCACATTTCTACCACACAAGTTGAATATGTCAGGTGTAAGACATCACCCTGAAGCATCACTTCTGAGAACTATTGGGAGGGAAGTATCAGAACTATTGAAATATCACAGCTGGCCCTGATTTTAACTGTTGCCAAACACCTGCAGCCTCTACAAGGATACCAAAACAAAACCCCACCCTGTGGCCACAAGCCATCCCTTAACAACCCTTCCTTAACTTTGCATCACCATCAAAATTAATTTAACATTTTCTACAGAAACCTTATTCTTCCTGTCCCAGAAGGCCATTACAACTCCTTTAACAAATCTTTAGTATGGGATAAATATGTCATAGAAACAGAGTGAAGTATTGAAATATTTGATGGCCGAAACTATCTGTTTTCATCTCATTATTTGTGGAAGCCTGTGAAGTTGGAGCTTTTATTAATCTCTAGACTAGCTCATATTCTCTAAGTGATTTTGTTTTAGCACATTTTGGCAAAATATCTAAGCATCGGGGGGAAAAGCCCATTATTCACATAGTAAGCATCAGAAGCACCCAAATACAGAGCTGTTTTTCCAGCCCTTTCTATTATATATACACACACACATTTATTATACACATGTATTCATACATTTATACGTACACACATGCACTCTACTGATGCATTTGAAAAAACATGTTTTGAATGACTTTAGTTATTTTTTGTTGAAATGCAGTTGCTTAGTCCTTAGAGGGTTATACAAGTCAAGCAAAATTATATCATTGTCTCTAATATGGCTGAAAAATACATATAGACAGTGGTCCTTGCCACTGGAAAACTGTTGATGAAGATCTGAGGTAAAATAGTATGTCTGGAAATAATTTCTAGAAGACAAGTCAGATAAAAACATAAATTTTATATGTATCTGTAAATATACAGGACATATTTTAGATGATGCACAAATTCAGATATACTTACATGCTATGCAGTACGTGTATTATGTGTGTGCTTGTTCTATGATACCTAGGTATAATATTTTCAATTTTTGAAGAAGGAATTTGTTTTAGACTTAGGTAATTAAATAAAAATAAAACTAATTTAATTTGACTCTTTCTGGATAAAAGATTTAAATTTAAGAAATGAAATGATAACAATTCTAGAAGAAAGTATAGGAAAAACTCTTGACAATATAAACCTGGGAAGAGATTTTGTGAAGAAGATCCTCTTGGCAGTTGCAGTATTATAAAAAATAAATGAATGGGACATGATCAAACTAAAAAGCTAAGGGTACAACTGAAGCATACTTTCAGAAGGGGAGAAGATATTTGCATACTATAAATCTGACAAAGGGCTAATGACTAGAATCTTCAGAGAACTCAAATTAATCAACAAGAAAAGAGCAAATAGTCCCGTTTGTAAGTGAGCAAGAGACATGAATCAAACCTTTTCTGAAGAAGGCATAGGAATAGCCAATAAACATATGAAAAAATGTTCAACATCTCTAATCATCAAAGAAATGCAAATCAAAACCACCCTAAGATACCACCTAGCCCCGGCGAGAATAGCCTATATCACAAAGTCCCAAAGCTGCAGATGCTGGCATGGATGTAGAGAGCATGTATCTCTATACTGCTGGCAAGATTGCAAAATAATACAACCTCTATGGAAAGAAGTATGACAAATCCTCAGAAAGCTAAAAGTAAACTTTCCATTTGATCCTGCAATCCCATTACTAGTTATCTACCCAGAAAGAATAAAGAAAGTTTTACCATAAGGACATTTGAACTAGAAAGTTCT